TGTGTGTTTGGGTGTGGGGTGTGTGTGTTTGGGTGTGGGGTGTGTGGGTTTGGGTGTGGGGTGTGTGTGTTTGGGTGTGGGGTGTGGGGTTTGGGTGTGGGATGTGTGTGTTTGGGTGTGGGATGTGTGTGTGTTTGGGTGTGTGTGTGTGTGTTCGATGATGATGACGACGACGAGCGCTGTGCTGCCTCATCCACCCACACACTCTGTTATGTTCACCAGTTATCTCAGGCCCTTAGCGTGAAATATGTCTGGTAAATGTACGGAATAGAGGGAAATTGTATCATATGTGCTCTAAAACTGGACCAAACTGTACTATGTAGTCACTCATGCATATTTAAGTCTTTATATCGAAAATAGCGGGTATTTTTTCCGTACAGTGTAGCCAGCTCGTGCAACCCTGCTTCCTCCTCCGCGGGTTATATTTACATTTATGTCCCTTTCTCCCTCTGCCACAGGAATCCCGCTGGGACTCGCCCATTTTTATGCTAAATCACCGGGGTTGGTAACGACCACGCAGGCCTGTCATTTACCCGGGAGTATCGCCTTTAAGGCTAGAGTCATGTGATAGCTGCCTCATGCCCCGAGGTCCTCAGATCTAGAAGTAAACGTCGTCTTAATGTAAGTCACAAGAACGCGGGCGAGCAGCTACAACCTACAACTCTCCCCTTCCAATTTCATATGATTTTTAGTGTTATCCTCCAAACGTTTGGGACAGTTTATGTTGGCTCAACTTTTTCTGAAAGCGACGCTATATCGAGCTTTAAATATCGAACTCTGACAGCGAGCTTGTCATAGTGCTTATCGATACAGTTTTGGCGTTAATACCGGAGACGTGTGACCGGGGCGTGCTGGTAAAATTGAATTTGATATCGCCATTGCAATCTAAACAGAGACTCATTTTAACATTGAAAAAAGGGGCCTTAAAAAATTTCAGCCAGTGAACGCGTCTTTTAATATAAAAATCTCATAGTTTATCCTGGGCGGCGACATCCCCAGGAAAATTGTAGGCGTAAAAAAGGAGAATGAAGGAGACAGTATGTATCCTGGCTACCGTGGCCCAGGGTGGGTGTGAGGTCCTGACCGGGAAGGCTGGCCCGTACCCAAACACGCCCACTCTACACCCACACAATAGACGCCTTGCCCTAGAGACGTCTGTATCGGAGGAAGAGAATGTAGAGAGGGAGGGAGAGGGAAGGGAGTATATTTTTTTTATTATGGTTTTCTGTTTCTTACATCCTCTGACTCCCATCATAAGCCAAAGGTACTCCTGGCTCTGCCCTCTTGTTGTGGGCTAACACACACACTTATTTACACAACCTTACATACTTATTTCCACAACCATACACTTTTACTTACACAGCCCACACAGTTACTTACACTATCTTTCACACTTATACAACTTTACACACTTATACAAGTACATTCAACGCTGATAAACAAACACTTTCGGCATCAGTAAAAAGACACTCAAAAACTGATGAAACACTAGATACTGGTAGACTGAAACACTTACTGTTGTTGGAGGCACTCAACATAAGTCAATTAGTTAACTCCTGCAAGACAAACGGGATAACATAACTCGCTGTGGTGGATGGCTGGGGGAGACAGTGTATGGGTGGGTGGATGGGTGGGTGGGTGGATGGATAGGTGGGTGATGGTGGTTTTGACGGGGAGGGGTGATTGTTTGGAAGGGCAGGTGATAGTGGTGAGGGATGATTGTGGTGAAGGGGAGGCAGGTGATGAGGAGGGACGGTTGATGATGGTGAGGGGAGGGACGGGTGATGATGGTGAGGGGACGGGTGATGATAGTGAGGGGACGGGTGATGATAGTGAGGGGACGGGTGATGAGTAGTGAGGGGGACGGGTGATGATAGTGAGGGGACGGGTGATTGTAGTGAGGATCCGCTCAGTCTCTTCTGGTCTCATTTACTGGAATATTATTTTTGCTCCTTTGTGGTTGAGTGAGTTAGTGATTAAATATGTACATAAACACAAAGTCTCAGCCTTGTAACGCGACATGTTTTGCTGAGAGAATCAAGGTATTGCCTATGTGTGTGAATAATTTTCTCGGGTGGATGATGTTGTGTATCTTTCCTTTGTTTCTGTTTAGTTTTGTTTGTTGAAGAATATTTTACTTCTGTGATAAAAATTGGTGATAAAGTTTGTTTGTCCTGTATTATTTACATTTTTATAACGGGGGAGGATTTGTTGCTTTTTTTGTTGTTGTTTTTTTATTTGTTTTCCCGACGATCCTCTGGTAACATACTTCTGGTGCGTGTCCTATCATGTTTGTTTTGTTTTTTTTAAGGTACATTCAGTATATAAATCTTTTTCCATTGTGGTAAAGAAAAGTGTATCGGGTTTGTTTTTCACTTGACGGCGGAGCACTGGATCAAATGTTGTTTTTTACTGATGTCGGGATAAACGCTGGATTTTTCCCTGCCATCTGCACGTGTGTGATTGTTTATCTGGGGAGTTATTTTTTCTCCCCAGAGCGATGTGGGGAGATGCAAGTGATTCGTGGTGTTGGGTGGGGAGGGTATGTTCAATGAGGTGGAGGGGTATTGAAGTGGGAAAGGTAAAGGGGGTCATTGAGGTGGGTGAGTTATCTACTGAATATTATATAGAGTTTTTGAAGTGGATATAATTCAGTGGATGTATTTCAGTGGATTTACCAGTTCGTGTTAATTAGTGGGTGTTGCTCAAGTAGAGTCAGTGTAGTGGGTGTTGTTCAGTAGAGTCAGTGTAGTGGGTGTTGTTCAGTAAAGTCAGTGTAGTGGGTGTTGTTCAGTAGAGTCAGTGTAGTGGGTGTTGTTCAGTAGAGTCAGTGTAGTGGGTTGTTGTTCAGTAGAGTCAGTGTAGTGGGTGTTGTTCAGTAGAGGCAGTGTAGTGGGTGTTGTTCAGTAGAGTCAGTGTAGTGGGTGTTGTTCAGTAGAGTCAGTGTAGTGGGTGTTGTTCAGTAGAGGCAGTGTAGTGGGTGTTGTTCAGTAGAGGCAGTGTAGTGGTTGTTGTTCAGTAGAGTCAGTGTAGTGGGTGTTGTTCAGTAGAGGCAGTGTAGTGGGTGTTGTTCAGTAGAGGCAGTGTGGTGTTGTTCAGTAGAGGCAGTGTAGTGGGTATTGTTCAGTAGAGTCAGTGTAGTGGGTGTTGTTCAGTAGAGTCAGTGTAGTGGGTGTTGTTCAGTAGAGGCAGTGTAGTGGGTGTTGTTCTGTAGAGGCAGTGTAGCGGGTGTTGTTCAGTGAAGTAGTATGGTGTTGTTCAGTAGAGTCAGTGTAGTGGGTTGTTGTTCAGTAGAGTCAGTGTAGTGGGTGTTGTTCAGTAGAGGCAGTGCAGTGGGTGTTGTTCAGTCGAGCTTGTTGGGAGGGTCATCTACCGTGTACCTGATAGATGGTGGATCACAGCTCACACCTGTAGCCCCCAGGTGAGAGGATCAAGGGGAAGCCGCTACAGATTAACCTGTCCACCTCAGTGTTCACCTCACTGTAGGTATCATACCCAGCCCACGCCATCAACATGTCCAGCCCACGCCATCAAAGCGTCCAGCCCACGCCATCAACACGTCCAGCCCACGCCATCAACACGTCCAGCCCACGCCATCAACATGTCCAGCCCACGCCATCAATACGTCCAGCCCACGCCATCAATACGTCCAGCCCACGCCATCAATACGTCCAGCCCACGCCACCCCTCAGCCCACGCCACCTACACCTCCAGCCCACGCCACCCACACTTCAGCCCACGCCACCGACCCCTCCTCACGCCACCAACAAGTCAGCCCACGCCACCAACACGTCAGCCCACGCCACCAACACGTCCAGCCCACACCATCAACACGTCCAGCCCACGCCACCAACCCCTCCAGCTCACGCCACCAACACGTCCAGCCCACGCCACCAACACGTCCAGCCCACGCCAACGTCCAGCCCACGCCACCAACACGTCCAGCCCACGCCATCAACACGTCCAGCCCTCCACCAAACGTCCAGCCCACGCCACCAACACGTCCAGCCCATGCCACCAACACCCTCCAGCCCACGCCCAACACCTCCAGTCCACGCCACAACACTCCAGCCCACGCCACCAACACGTCCAGCCCATACCAACACGTCAGCCCACGCCACAACACCCTCCAGCCCACGCCACCAACACCTCCAGTCCACGCCACCAACACGTCCAGCCCACGCCAAGAACACCTCCAGCCCACGCCACCAACACGCGACGGTGAATGGCTCAAATAAGAACTTTGGAGTTGAAAATCTTGAAAGAAAAATTAGATTTTTTTCATTATCAATTTCGCTACAATTTTGATGGTATGGGAGGTGTCGTGTACTGGTGGAGGTGTCGTGTACTGGTGGTGGTTGTCGTGTACTGGTGGAGGTGTCGTGTACTGGTGAAGGTGTCGTGTGAGTGAAGGTGTCGTGTACTGGTGGTGGTGTGTCGTGTACTGGTGGTGGTGTCGTGCTGGTGGTGGTGTCGTGTACTGGTGGTGGTGTCGTTACCGGTGAAGGTGTCGTGTACTGGTGAAGGTGTCGTGTACTGGTCGTGCTGAATTTTATTTCCACCTCTAACGCGATAATCAGCTTTGAAACTAATAAGATTTCCACCTGGTTGGTACCCAGAGGCTGTGGGTTCGAGTACACTCACCTGAAGCAAGTTTTGTTGAATACACCCAGCCGTGTGCACTGGACTGGGTACACTCAGTTATGTACTTCGTTGTGTGTAATGTGATGAAATAGTGCAGTAGGGTGAAGTATCCTGCCATGAAGTTGTTATTATTATTATTATTATTATTATTATTATTATTATTATTATTATTATTATTATTTATTATTATTATTATTATTATTATTATTATTATTATTATTATTATTATTATTATTATTATTATTATTATTATTATTATTATTATTATTATTATTATTATTATTTATTATTATTATTATTATTATTATTATTATTATTATTATTATTATTATTATTATTATTATTATTATTATTATTTATTTTTGTTGTTTTTGTTTAGCGGTTATAAGCTATCGGTTTTTTCTTGAAGTTGTTGATCTTCCCCTCCCCTCCCCCATCTGATTTGTTCTCACTCTCTCTACTTCTTCTCCCTCTTCCTCCTCCTCTCCCTCTTCCTCCTCCCTCCTTGTGACTTCTACTCCTGCTTCCTCCCCCTTCGTAGCATTTCCCTCTGGTCTCTTCAGTTTGTCCTATCCCCTTTGACTCTCTCTCTCTCTCTCTCTCTTGCTTTTGTTTTCTTCTCCTCCCGCCATATCTTCCCCTGCACCCCTTCCCTCCTCTCCTCTCTTCCCCCTCCACCTACACCCCCAGGCCCCCCCCTCCCCCCTACCCCCTCCCCAGGTGTACCAATATCCCGGCTAGTTATCTTAATCTTATTCCACCGGTATTGACTCTATAGAAAATCGAGTTACCGGCGACCTTAATCGCTTATGTGGCCCACTTCCTCCGACCTCCGGCCACTCCAGAGTGTCACCCACTCCCCACCGTCACTCAGGCTCTCTTAAGTGTCGTATAGTGCTATTCAGGCCGCTCTTGAGTGCTCGAATGTTCAAACAACATCAGTAAGGCCGCTTGTCACTTGGGCCACTCCTACCTGTCGCTTGGGTCAGTATCAAGTGTCGGTGAGGTCGTTTTCGAGTAACGCTCAGACTACTCCTGAATGTCACTCATGCCCTCACACAAGACGGAAAATGTTTTCATACGAGTGAGCTGCCACTCCACCCTCGAGCCTCAAGGACGACCCAGTATTTTCAACTTATTCTTGGCCATTTTTCTTGTCTTTCTTGGACCAGAGAGACACGACTCATAATTGTTAAGTGCTGATGGTGAGTGTATGTAGGCTGACTACCTGAAGATTATACTAGCTTCTTTCACACTAATATTAACCATCAAAACGGTGGTGGTTGAGGAGGTGTGTGTGTGTGTATGTGTGTATGTGTGGACGTCGGGTTTGAACTGCTGTCAAAAGTCTCGAGTTGGGAGAAGGAAATTGTATTGAAAAAAGTTAAGCTGAACGAAGTGGTTGATGTTATGAGTGAGGGGATGTTATCGTTCTGCTGTTAAAGTTAGGTTAGGTTATGTTTGGGTTACGGATTTCACTGGACACGGATCTTACGACTCTGATCCTCCAGCACTGTGATCCTTGGCTATAGGTAAAAATTCATAAGACAATGTCCACTGCAATAAGGAAAATATTCGGTCAAAGAAATGGTGTACACAAGTTAGGAGCTTGTCTTGTGCTGAGGACAATATATCATGTTGGTGGTCGCGTTACCCCTCTCCCCTCTGCTAGAATATTGTTTTCTCTTCTAATTCCCTCTTTCATCTGTCTCCTTTCCCTTTTTCATTCCTCCTCTTTCCACCCCACTTACATTCCCTTCTCTTTCGTTCTTACTTTTTTCCAGTTCACCTGTTGAACCTGTCATCTTTCCTTTATCTCTTTCTTTTTCCTTTTCATTTTATTCCATCTTTCACCTTTCCTTACTATTTATCTCTGTCCTTGGGCAGTACTGATGTCTTAGGGGAGGGGAGTGCTCTAGGGGTGGGAATGGGTGCTCAGGGGAGGGGTGAGTGCTCGAGGGTGGGGATGGGTGCTCAGGGGTGGGATGGGTGCTCCAGGGGTGGCAAGGGAGGGGTGATGCTGAGGGTGGGGATGGGTGCTGAGGGTGGGGATGGTGCTCAGGGTGGGGATGGGTGCCTAGGAGGGGGTGGAGCCCAGGGAGGTGGAGTGCTCAAGGGTGGGATAGCCTGAGGGTGGGGATGGGGTGCTCGAGGGGTGGGGATGGATGCTCGAGGGTGGGGGATGGGTGCCTGAGGGTGGGATGGGTGCCTGAGGGGTGGGATGGAGCTCTAGGGTGGGATGGGTGCTCTAGGGTGGGGATGGGTGCTCAGGGTGGGGATGGGTGCTCTAGGGTGGGATGGGTGCCTGAGGGGCGGAGATGGGGTGCCTCAAGGGGAAGGGATGGGTGCTCTAGGGGTGGGGATGGGTGCTGGGGTGGGATGGGTGCCTAGGGGTGGGGGATGGGTGCCTCAAGGGGTGGTGATGGGTGCTCTAGGGTGGGGATGGGTGCTCTAGGGTGGGATGGGTGAGGGGTGGGGATGAGGCCTGGGGTGGGGATGGGTGCCTAGGGTGGGATGGGTGCTCTAGGGGTGGGGATGGGTGCTCAAGGGAGGGGATTGGTGCTCAAGGGGTGGGATGGGTGCCTGAGGGGTGGGGGATGGTGCCTAGGGGTGGGATGGGTGCTCAGGGGGGGATGGTGCTCAAGGGTGGGGATGGGTGCTCGAGGGGTGGGGATGCTCGGGGGTGGGATGGTGCTCTAGGGGATGAGCTCTAGGAGGGAGGAGTGCCTGAGGTGATGGGTGGATGCTCTAGAGGACAGTGGATGGAGGCAGGCTGGGAGCTCTGTTTTCCGTCCCATAAAAGGAAGGAAATGCTCATAAAAGCTGGGCACGGTTATGAGACACGGTTTATGGGGTCAAACTAACAACATTGGCGATGTTTACACGAATACTGAATGTATGTTTTGGGCCGCGTGGAGGATTTCTTCTCTCTCCATTAAACACTCTTTTAGGTTGTGTTTAGTCACTGCGTCTGCCTGTACTGACTTGACTGCCGAAGGTTTTTGTGGATGATGGATGGATTTTTTTAGCGACGTATAATCAGCTTATATACTTCTCTTTTCTGGCCTGTCTGATAGCTGAATTTTTTTTTATCCGCCAAAGACCTCTCGTTAGCTATGTGCAGGTAAAGTCTCTGCATATTTTTTATATCATTTTTAAGTTACTTTTGATTCAGAGAGAGCAGTACTATCCTGCAGCACCTCCTCCTCTCCTCACCACCAACTACTCTCCCCACCACACACTAATTCAACCCCCACCCCAACCTCCTTCCTCAGTAGTTATGGGAACCATCATCAGAGCGCGTCATATCTACCTCAGGCTGATTAAACCGCAAAAACCACCACCGCATTATTGACCTGGTGGAGCAATAAAGTATGGAGTAATAGAATCTCTCTCTCTCTCTCTCTCTCTTCTCTCCTCTCCTCTCCCTCTCTCTCCCTCTCTTCTTCCTTCCTTCCTTCCTTCCTTCCTTCCTTCTCGGTAGTAATCAAGAGTACTTCGCCTCACCCAATTTATTCACGACTGACCTCGAATTATTTACTACCGACCATTAACCTGCCTCTGTGACGTCATATTCCCGAAGTGACCTGTACCTCCTTGACTTAATTAGCTGACACCTGACATTGCTTTCGTCTTCATAACCTGTGACGTCAACTATCGTAACATGACCTATACGTGACTCGACCTGACACACACACGCGTCTAAAAAAAATCATTGGTGATATTTGTTGTTCTCCAGTTCATGTCGGGACAGGGTTAGGTTAGGTTATTAAAGGGTTCATATCCTGGTTTTGTCATGTTCCGAGTTGACCTGTATCCGTCGGCCGTGGTGTTACCTTCACACACTCCCCCAGGCGGCCAGGTGATGCTCCCACCTCTGCCTCGTGACAGGTGTTAAATGAAGAGAGGAATATTCTATTGTTCCCCTTCTGCATCTCAAATGTGTCTAGTTTGTCTTGTATAGTGTAAATAGGTGTGTGTGTGTGTGGCTTTAAATTGGACAAATTTAGATTTAGGCGCGAGATAGGCAAACATTGGTTTGGAAATATAGTAGTGGATGAGTAGAAGTTACCAAACATTATCATTAACCTGAAACGCTGGATAGTTTCAAACATAGGTTGGAGGGATATATGAGCGATAGGGGTTGGGTGTAACGGACTGCCCAGTAGGGGCATAGACCACTGTAGTGCTTCTCCATTCTTGTGTTCTTGTGTTTTGTGTGTGTGTGTGTGTGTGTGTGTGTGTGTGTGTGTGTGTGTGTGTGTGTGTGTGTGTGTGTGGTTGTCTACCCCCGTATATGAATAAAACACATACACACCCAGACACTTCCTAGCGGCCGCCAATCGTTACTTAATACACTCGGCCACTCCCAGCAGCTGTACCACCTCACATTAGCCTTCTCTTAGACTCGAGGACTTTCAAGGGAGTAGACCCTGCCCTTGTAGCCTATTGACCAGGGGAGATGTGTTGCTGAATGGGAGGTGGAGTGACAGCGAGAGAGGCTCACTGTCTTCCTGGGTCTTAATGCTGGTGGAGCCTTAGTGGAGTGCTGGGAGGAGGTGGAGGAGGAGTGTAAT